AATTTGCTCTGTAAACTTTCACCCAAATTACAATAAAAATTAAACAAAACAAAACAATATTCTTGATTTCTCTATCTTCCTCAGCAAAGCTGTTCTCCACCTCTCTTTCCCCAATAAATGGTGCAACCATCTACCTTGTACAAAATTCAGGTATCAGAAAGTGATTCTTTGCTTTCTTTTTCATCAGACGTAGTTCATCCACATTTCCTCCAACCTTCTATCTTTTGAATCTGTCCACTTCCATCCTCTCTGCCACCACTATGCCAGGCCAGACCACTACCATCTCTCAAAGGGATATTGCAATTGAAGGCTAACTGGTCTTGTTTCTACTTTCATCTCCCCACAAATCATTTTTTCTCAGATAGCCAAGGGGTCTTTACAGACTCTTCAAATCTCACCAAGAATTACAGAAGACCACCACTGCCTGCAGTGCCATGCATGTTCAGTGCCTGGCTGAACTCTCCCACCAGTCTGACTGAACATGTCTCACTTTCCCTTGGCTCCAGGTAGCCATCCTTCCTGTGGTTCCTAAGACACTAGCATTCTGTCCTGCAAGGAATCTTTGTGTTTTCTCTTCTCTTGCCTGGAATGCTCCTCTGCATTCCATTCTCCAGTTTACATGCTCTTCTTAAGACAAGTTCCTTTTTATGTTCCATGCCACCTCCTCAGTGAAGCCTGCCTTAACTGTTCTATTTGTATGTGGTTGCCCCATTCTTCACCACTTTATTCCTGCTGTCTCCACAGGCCCATTCATCTGTAATTTATTTGCACACAAAGTGGTGTTCTGTTCATTTCTTCTACTAGAACGTTAGAACGTCAGCCCCACAGGGCTTAGATTATGCCTGCCTCATGTCCTATTGTGTCTTTAGAACAGGACAGTGTTTTCATGTGGAGGCATGCAAATAATGTGTCAATAAACGCTAAAGAAGCTAGTCTAGCTATATTACGATCCTGTCCTTTTAAACTTTTCTCTTAGCTATTCAATGTAAATACTCCCAATTCTAGTTGGATTTCCAAAGGAATTTCAGAAGTTTATAGAAGCAAATTAGGAGCTCTGGTAGCATAGTGCCTAAGGCACTTGACTGCTAACCAGAAGGCTGGTGGTTCAAACCCACCAGCCACTCCTCAGAGGGAAGGTTGGGCAATCCTACTTCCACAGTTATACTGCCTCGGCAACCCAAGGAGGGGCCGCTATGATTTGGGGCTGACTCGATGGTAAATAACAACAACAACAACAACATAGAAGCAAATTGGAAAAGAATAAAGCACTGTCTATTGCGTGAACCATAGTGCCTAAGGCACTTGATTGTTAACCAGAAGGCTGGCGGTTCAAACCCACCAGCCACTCCTCGGAAGGAAGGTTGGGCAATCTACTTCCGTAGTGATACTGCCTCGGAAACCCAAGGAGGGGTCACTATGAGTTGGGTCCGACTCGATGGCAAACAATAACAACAACAACGTTGAGTGAACAGGCTGAAATATCTCATCATCATTTACTTAGCACTTAGAGAAATGTCTTTTTCTCTGGCATTACCTTTTCTTTGGAATCTTTGCACCAGCTACATACTGAGTGGGGGGAAAAAGCACCTCAGTGCTGTCGAGTCGATTTTGACTCATAGCGACCCCTTCTTGCGTTTCCAAGGATGTATCCCTATGGAAGTAGATTGCCCAATCTTCCTTCCAAGGAGTGGCTGGTGGGTTTGAACCACCAGCCTTCTGTTTAGTAGTCAAATGCCTTAGGCACTGTGCCACCAGAGTTCCCCTGGAGCTGCTGCCTTTATATTAGGAGTCCATGGAAGAACTAAGTTTCAGCAAGACTAGTGAAGGACTAAGCAGGTTTATTTCAAGTGAAACTGACATTAAAATGTCATTTCATTAAAATGGGGCAGAAATGATCTTTCACTTAATAGTCGTTGTATACCTACTATGTCCCAGTTCAGAGAGAGAGGTACAGATGACACAAAGATGCATAACACAGGAGTCCTGCTGTCCATAAACTTATAGGCATTGCTCACATCTTGGTCATTTTTACTAAAATCGTCCTTAAAGAAGTTTGAACAATATGTTTTCTAGTCTTCATCATGTTTTTCACCTTCACATCTCATCATAAATCAAAATTTCTTACTTTTCTTTTTTCAATCCAGTCATATTTTGCCACAGTCCTGGGAAGTTTTCAAACTGATAGGTATAGATAAAGATAAGCACCAGCATAGTGTAAATAACCACGGACATCCAAAAGTATTTTAGAATTCGCCTCCACCATTCATAGTGCACCTGTGAATCAGACATTGAAAACCAAACACAAAATAAAAATCAGTTATGGGAAAATTCACAAAAATATTTAGTCTACTCAACCAATAGAAATGATTATATTTACTGATGTTTGAAAAAAATTCCACTTGATTTTTAGTTTTTACACTGTGTTCTTAATATAGTTGGATGGATGTGGGTTAGAATCCTAATCCTACCACTTGCTGCTAGCTGTGTTGTTGAGCAAGTAGCTGGACCCACTGAGCTACAGTTTCTTCTTCCATAAGTACATACTTTATAAAACTGTTTTGAATAGGAGATAAATAATATTTATATGTCTCCAAGCATCATACCTGCCATATAGGAAGCATTCAAGGAATGGTAGCTGTTGCTGTTGTTAGTATTGCTGAGAGAGAAAATTAGGTCAGTTTTAAAATTTAATGTGATATCATGTGAATAAAAATATAGAACCATGGACCAGAGACATCTGTCTTTATCTTAAGTTTGTGGATATTCATTAGAAAATATCTACCTTGAATTTTTAAAAGTATTCAAAAGTTTGCTGATTGCATAGTTAATACTGACATGCATTTTTATCCCCACGTGAAATATACTTTTATTAATTATAGCTGCTTTGTTTATTTTGTAGGCTACTTCTAAGAATATTTTATTGTTACATTCATTTCTATTATTGGGTTTCCTTCTACTGTCAGTTAAAATTGAGTTTGTAGGGAGGCTAATTCATTTTAATATAATGTTTTAATGAATAACATACTAAAGCAGCTGATACATTATAAATATGTGTGTGGGGTTTTTTTTTTGGTGTGTGTCTGTGTGTGTGTAGATAGATGCATAGATAGATAGATAGACAGACAGACAAATAGATACACAGATAGACAGAGTTTTCTGATTCCAAATCCAAATACAAGTGAACTGGGTAATGATCCACTATTTCAGGTTATCCAGCCACTATTCTTAAATTTATGTTTAAAAAAAACATAATCTGATCATAAAAATTTCTTTTTTTAATGTTCTTTATCAAGAATTTTGAGAAACTTTTTTTTTTGACATTTTGAAGAATCTAAAATTTAAAATCATGAACAAGCTGAAGATCATTTCACATTTTAGGATTCTTAGAATATAATGTTTCAATCTCATCGATCACCTTATATAACATGTTCATGGGATTGCATTAAGTTAGAATCTCTTTAAATGAAGCTGGGGGAGATGTCAGAATTCAAACAGTGAAGAACAATGGTTTCACTTACCTGATACAAGGCCACACAGAATAGGAACAGCACCATGTAGATGATTTTGTACATTACAATTTTACCCTCAAAGCTGACAAAGAAGAACATTCCTCCACAGACATAAATCCAGTACTTAATGAACATGGCCACCACCAAATTTCCCAGCACTTTCATGATGTCCTGGTCATCTTCTTCTACTTCTTCCTCTTCTTTTTTTCTTTCTTGTTTCTCTTCCTTTGCTTCCTCTTCTTCCTCCTTCACTTTGGACTCCCCTTCCACTTCTGTATCTTGTAGCTCATCCTCTTCAAAATATAAAACTGTGCATTATTCTTAGCTAGTTTCTGGACCAAAGCCACACTTGACCAAATGTGATACATATGAGACATAGATGCCAATATGTTATGAAGTACCACATGATTTGAATGATTTTTACCCTGCGCTAATAAACAAGGCAGAGCTGCTAACCAGAAGGCTGGCGGTTCAAACCCACCAGCCACTCCTCGGAAGGAAGGTTGGGCAATCTACTTCCATAGTGATACTGCCTCAGCAACCCAAGGAGGGGTTGCTATGAGTGGGGTCCGACTTGACGGCATATACAACAACAACAACAACAATAAACAAGGCAATGTTCAAATCAATTCATAGTCACTATGCATAATCTTCAAAAAATATAGTTTAAAAGAAAATAAATTTGGTATTATTTTTACACCAGTCTTTTTACAACACCTTTTGTTAATCTCCAGTATCCAAAGATAACTAATTGGAAGTACCATAGGATTTAGAAAAACTAAATACGCAACAATAACAAAAATTAAAACTATTAAATCAATTTTAAATTCTAATTGTTTCATGGCTATAAACATTCCAAATAGTACTTTACAAATGTGGCTAATGCTAACAATCGTAATCAAGTGCATGGTTTTAAATAACTACAAGTGGAAGAGTTAAAGCCAAATATAATTTAATTATATAATTTAATCTTATATAACTTATATTTAAAGAATAAGTGTAATTTAACTAGGTTTTAAAAAAAACTGTCATCCATTGGATGAAAATCTTATTTGACTTTTAAAGTAAAAAGATGCTAATATGTAAGACATAGCTTTACCTTACTAAGCTGCTGGAAATCTGAATAATTTATTCAAACAACTAGTATATTCACAGTGTAGGGGTGTGGTAATAAAGTGAGGAGTCAGAAGAATGAACCTAAGTTAACCATACTTTAATTCAGCTAACTGGTTACTTTAATCATTGTGTTTATTAGAGACATCCTAACTCATACAGGCAACATCAAAATCGTATAAAATTTTATTGCTGAAAATCAACTCAGTAGTCAGACCTAAATGAGAAAATAGATAAAAAGAAAAATGAGTTCGTCTTTGTTGTTTTTTTTATAGTTAATGAATTAAAGGGTTAACAGGCCAGATTTGTGTTTTCTAAACATTTTGTAAACAAATGTTTTGTAAACATTTATGGCTTCCTTTTCCAAGATGATGGTGCTTCATAAATAATCTCAAATACAGTCAGCAGACATTAAAATTCTACTGATTTGTATACATGGGGAGACAGGGAGTAAGACTATTCTCATATGCATACAGCAGGCTTATATCTACAGAGGGAATAATAAAAATATGATTCTCTTCTCTCTGACTTTGTGGAAAATTATTTTTATAAGAGGATTTGAATTTAAATGGGTCAGTCTTGTTCTAACATTTAGTAGAAGTGTGGCTTTGGGAAACTCATTTAACTTCTATAAGCCTCAGTTTCTTTGGTTCAATAATAATCATCGTGGGAAATATCTATTAACAGCGTTTTTTAAAATTCTCCTCCTCAGGTCTCTCTTGTTACTGCTATGGATTAATATTCAGCCCCCATTTGGTATGATCCAGAGAGGCTTTGCTTTGTGATGTGCTTTGGGGTTCACAAAAAGCTGCAGTCACACACTGTAGACACACTAATTTACCTTTTTCTTCATTTTCCTGACTGTCAATTTTGACTTCAGATAAAAGAACTTCCTTTTGTTGAAGAGCTTTTTGCTCTGTAAGGTGCTGCCTCAGGAGTAGCCAAAAAGTAATAGTGAAAAGAATCTGAAAGCAGAGAATTAGCAAAACATGAATTAAGGAACCTTTCGAATGTAAACATATTCAACAAATATAACATTTTCCTTCACAATTCAGTGGCAGGCTGGGCACAATAAATAAATCTTAGTTACAGAAGATAGAGTCAGCTCATCCTCTGATTTTAACTGAAAGCTGCTGGCTTTGAAGTCCTTGCTCCTAAGAAAGGTAGCAGTGTCCAGTGCTTGGAATATGTCCAGCCCTGTCTAAGGACCACAGGAAGATGCACTGGAGTCCCAATTACTCCAGCAATGGTCTCCTCAAGTTGCTTGTCCTTGACTGACTTCCTGTTCTGAGTATGACATCATCACCATTTAATGTATAACATTCCTTTGACTCTCAAAAATTCTTTATTTTGAAGTATCCCACAGAAAGAGGGGAAAATCTATTCCAGAAAATAGAATCCCTTATTTTTCCAATCAGTCTCCTAAAGCTGAAGAAAGAACCATTGCAGATTGCCACATTTTTGTATTACCACTTCCTTGAGGCCTAAGAAAAAAAATTATTATTTCAGGGAACTCCATTCTTGAGGGATAACAGTACCTGGCACATAGTCATTATTTTTCCTTTTTAGTGATAACTGTATTGATATATAAGGAGCATAGTGACTAAGGCACTTGACTGCTAACCAGAAGCTGGCAGTTCAAACCCACCAGCCACTTCTCGGAAGGAAGATTGGGTAATCTACTTCCGTAGTGATACTGCCTCGGAAACCCAAGGAGGGGTTCCTATGAGTCAGGTCTGACCCTACGACACATAACAACAATAACAACAAATATTGATATATAATTCACATACCATACAATTCATTCATTTGAAGTGTGTAACTCAATGTTTTTTAGATCAATTTTAGAATATTTTCATTACCCCCAAAAGAAACTCCATAGCAACCTAATAAAAATTAAATTCAAATGTAAATCAAAGGACTTCTCCAAAAGAATGAAAAGAGAACCTATAGAATGGGAAAAAATATTCGGCAACAATATATTTGACAAGGGACTGACTTATTTCTAAAATTTATAGAAAACTCCAACACTTCAACATCATAAAGAAAAAGAATCCAATTTAAAAAATGTGCAGAAGACATGAACAGACACTTCACCAAAGACTATATTCAGGCAGGGGCAACAAACACATGAAGAAATATTTGTGATCATTAGCCACTAACTCACTGCTGTCAAGTCAGATTTGACTCATAGAGACCCCTCCTTGGGTTTCTGAGGTGGTATCACTATGGAAGTAGATTGCCCAACATTCCTTCCAAGGAGTGGCTTGTGGGTTTGAACCACCAGCCTCTGGTTAGCACTCAAATGCCTTAGGCACTACACCACGAGAGCTCCTCATTAGCCACTAGAGATGCAAATCAAAACAACTCCATCTTGCCCCAGCAACAATAGCAAAGTTCAACAAGACAGAAAATAAATGCTGGCAAGGATGTGGATACATTGGTACCTCATACACTGCTGGTGGGATTGTAAAATGATACAACCACTGTGGAAAATGATATGACAATTCCTTGAAGAGTTAAAAATGGAAATACCATTTGATCCAGCAATCCCATTACTAGGTATGTATCGTAAGGAAGTGAGAACCAGGACACAAATAAATATATGCATACCCATGTTCATCACAGCACTATTCATAATAGGAAGGAAAGAGATGGAAACAACTTAAGTCCCCATCAATGGAGGAATGGATAACCAAACTATTCAATTGAATACTATGCAACATTAAAGAATAGTGTAGAAGCTATGAAACACTTCATAACATGGATGAACTTGGAGGATATTATGCTGAGTGAAATAAGTCAAGCACAGAAAGACAAATATTGTATTAGTCCACTATTGTAAAATGTCAAGGAAAGGTTCATATATGGAAAGAAAATTTGTTTGTTGGTTCCTGGGATGGAAGAGGAGGCGAGGAAAAATTGCTAGATAGGTAAGTACTGAGATGGGTAAAGGGAAAGGCAATATACCAAAAGTGAGTGACCAACACAATAACACTAAGGAAAAGGAAGACACAGAGAGGTGCACAACAGGTACAGATAACAAAGATAAACACTTTCACATACACAATACTGCATTATCAGTAATAACAAATATTACAGGTAGATACATAGGTAGACAATCTGAATGATCAGGTATGTCTAGCTAAAAGGGAATATATCCATGACCATATATAAGTTTGGGAGATGATATTTCTACACATGTATTTGTATGTGCTATAAGAATCTCCATAAAAATGGAACCAACATGAGGCAAAGTTCTGATAACTTCTTCACCATAGCCGACTACCCTAACGGAGCATATTGCTGGGGCCATGGGCTCAGGATCATGGGCATGGGGGACATCAAGTTCCATTGGTATATCACAGTACACAAAAACAGTGTTCTATATCCTACTTTGGTAAGTAGTGACTGAAGTCTTAAAAGCTTGCTAGTGGCTATCTAGATGCAACAATTGGTCTCTCTTCATCTGGAGCAAAGAAGAATGAAGAAAACAAAAGAGGCATGGAAACAATTAGTCCAAGGGCCTAGTGGACCATGCGAACCACAGCCTACATAACCCTGAGACTGGAAGAATTAGATGGTGCTGGCTACCACTCTCAACCATTCGCAAAGGGATCATTACAGGAGATCCTGAATAGAGTGGGAGAAAAATGTGGCACAAAACTCAAAATCATAAGAAAGACCAGGCTTACTGGTCTGATACAGATAAGTGAAACCTGCGAGACTATGGCCCCTAGTCACCCTTCGGGCCTGGAATTAGATTCACTCCCACGGTTTCCAACCAAACAATAGGTGTACAAAGTGAACAATGACACCAGGTAGGTACACTCCTTAGAATAATCAATCATAGAGATCAGAGGGGCAGTATTTGCACAGGGAGATAGTTCAGAGGATAGGATTTCATAAGAAATAAAGGACATAGGTAAAAGGTAACCACAGGGAGGAAGTGGGAATAGAGTTGTTACATTATGGGGACTGGAACTAATGTTAATGAAACAAAATATGTATGAATTGCAGTATGGAAAATGAATTTGCTCTTTGGATAAATTTTCACTGAAATCACAATTTAAAAAAAAAAAAAAAAGAAATCCCATTGAAGCCACTCTCCTTCTGCCTCCCTCCCCCCATCCTAAGAAGCTACTAATTTTCTTTCTGTTTCTATTGTGGACATTTTATAAAATTGTGATCATAAAATATGTGGCCTTTTGCACTTGACTTCTTTCACTTAGCCTAATGTTTTCAATATGAATCCATGTTTTAGCATGTATCAGTATTTCATTAATTTTTATGGCTGAATAATATTCTATTATATGGATATAGTACATTTTACTTATCCTTTCATCAGTTGATGGACATTTAGGCTGTTTTCACTGTTTGATCATTATAAATAATGCTGCTATGAACATTCACATACAAGTGTGTGTCTGGACATGTTTTCATTTCTCTTGGGTATATACTTAGGAGTGGAATTGCTGGGTCTGCTGGTAACTGTGTGTTTAACATTTTGAGGAACTGCCAAATGGTTTTCTATGGCAGCTAATTCACTTTATATTCCCACCAGCAATGCATGAGGGTTTCAATTTCCACACCTTGCTAACACTCATTATTATCTTTTTGTTTAATCCTAGTGGATGTGAAGTAGTATGTCATTGTGTTTCATGGTAATCTTTTAATAAATATTAGCCAAAGAAAGGGAAAAAATAAACAAATGAATAGGCCATTTTTCACTTTGAATAACTGCCCATCTAACTATCCATAAATAAATACCCTCTTACCATTTTTCTTCAACACACATGTCATGCAAATAATAACATGGTAAACATGTTTCGAATCTAAAGAATCTTAAGAAATTAAGAACCAAAGTGCCTACACTTCTAAATATCTAGCATTAAATTTCTGGAAATCAAAATTTATTGAACCATAGCTGCAATATGGGGGAGAAAGACATGCTTTCCTAATGCATATGCATAGAACTTAGGAGTAATTGGGACAAGATGGGACATTTTTTCTTAAGGATGATGTTGTAAGTTGGAAGTTGAAGAAGGAAGTTGGTATGGTTTGATAGAGTTGGGAGTGGGACATCCTAGCAGTTTAAGAAGTTGCACTTAGCAAGCACCTGAGACTAGCCAGACTGGAGGTGCTTAGACTTTGAGGTTAGAGGGCTTAATCTTTCTTTCTCTGTTTTTGTATCACAATGACATAGTACTCTGCACACAGTACATTGTACAACTAATGGGTTTTGACTTATTTCATTGTTACAGAGATTTCATGAGCCTGGGGTTATGTTTTATCATTTGTAACAAAATCTTGTACTTTTGAATTCCTGGATTCATTACAGTATAAATGCAGATCCCATTTTCCCTAGAATCACATTTTTGTTGTTAACAAGTATTTTCCTAAATAATGTTTTTCCCACAAAGTAATGACAATTTTAAATTAAGCTAGAGGTAATTCAACTGGTTGGTTGGCAAGCAGTTCTTTAGAAGTCTCATTGATATTGCAAGTCAAGTTGTAGCAGATTTACACATTCAAAAGAGTAAGATTTTTAAATTATCTTATAGTAAAAGACTAATTTACCAGATGGGTAGTTGTGCAAGTGTGTGTGTCTCAGTACGTGTGTTTGTGTGTGTGAGTATGTGTGAGTGTGGATTGATTGATCTAAAGAGTATACCTACCTGGTGTCGACGTTTACCTAATAAGCATGTTTAAGGTGAAAGAGAGAGAGTGAGAATTAAAGGAATGAAAATCAGATAATGTGTGAGTGTTATGAGTAACTATCAGTATGGAATAAGGTATATGAATAGACAGTGGGGATGGGATAAGCGTGGTAGTTTGAATGAATGAATGACTGAATGAATGAAAAAGGTTGCTATGACTCATGAACAAGGGATTATGGTCCAACTTCCAACTGCCATTAGCATTCACCTGTTAAGATTTTCTTTTCTTTACCCCAACAGTCTTCTACAAAACATCAGGACCTATCTTAGGTCTAGAGTATTCAGTAAGTACCCAATTTAGACCTGATTGCCTTGAATATGGGGCTTGTGGTAACCTGTAAAGAAGATGGTTGGTCCCAGGAAATGTGGATTTTATAACAGTATAATGATACTAATTATCTTCTCTCCCTAGAGGAAAATGATTTTCAAGGTTCATCCAATCCATACACATGATTGCTTCCTCTATCTTAAAATAAAGTCATCAAAACAAAGTCATAAGCACAAACAGAGTAGTACAGTAACATGGGGACATCTAATCTTCTGAAATAAAAACTGTATTAAAATAATTCATGAAAATAAATGGATAATGAAAGATTATGCAATAACTATGGATGAACACATATAATCAGTGGAAGGAAAATAGTATGCCAGTTTGTATTTTATGTCATAGTTTTATGTCAAAGTATGTCATACTTTATATTTACTGCTAAAAAGTGTTTCAGGATATCACTGGTGAAAAAAAATTTATTAATAATGAATATACAATGTAATCATATTTTACGAATTGAGAGTTCTCAGAAATAGTCTGCTAACCCTTTAAAATATTTTTACATATTATTTTCTTATTTCTCTAACTTACATTGTCCACCTTTCTCCTTTAAAAATGAAATCTAAAAACATAGTATAATATTTGTTCATGTTTGAATTTATAGCAGACTGAGGGCAATATCAACGATTTCTTACATTTTTATATCTGTTCATATTTTAAAGACTCTGGTGGTGTTGTGCCTAAGGTATGTGACTGCTAACCAGAAGGTTGGCGGTTCAAACCCACCAGCCACTCCTCGGAAGGAAGGTTGGGCAATCTACTTCCTTAGTGATACTGCCTTGGAAACCCAAGGGGGGGTTAACCATGAGTCAGATTCGACTCGACAGCAGTGAGTTTGGTTTGGGTTTATATGCTTGGAACATATTTCTCTAAATTTTTGCTTGAATATGGCTATTGTAATAACTATGTTTGTATATCATTTTTTGTTTGTTTGTTTGTTTTCCTATTTACTTACTGCAGTGTAGTAAATTACCTGGTATGGCTTTTCTAGCCATAAGTCTTTGCAAACTCTGTGGTGGAATTTGCTATTAGCAACTCAGGAGCTCCTGATTGTAAAAGTTATCCAATTTACAACCCTTTTACAATCAGGAGCTCCTGATTGTAAAAGTTATTTCTGTTGGGCGCAACACAAAGCAATGTTCTAGGAGGTTCCTGCTCTCTCTCAGGTGCTTAGAATTCTGATATTATGATTGGCTAGTTTGCCACTCTGCCAGGCTCAAAAGGAGGCCTCCTAGAGGCAGAAGAAATCTCTCTCTGACTGCTGGTTGAGGAAGACATGCTGCTGAAAGAGACACTCGCTGCTGGGAAAGAGATGCAAGAGACACACATTGCTGAGTGAGACACCGAGGAACATGCACTGCTGGGAGAGAGACTGTGAGAGACTGTTGGCTGAGAGATGGTGGGCTGACAGAGAGACTGAGCATTTTTTCAGAACTTGAATTGTAGCCTGGTGCTTCCCTAATAAACCCCAAAATCTGTGAGTTCTGTGTGGCCCCTGCAACAAATTGTTGAACTCAGGAGAGAGTTGGTGGATGCTTTGGGAGGAATGGTTGGTGAAAGGGCTGGAGGGAGGCAACATGTCTGGCCTTGCAGGAATAGGCCTTGGGTTACTGATAGTGATTCTGTCTTCCTCTTGTGCAGTTAGAGGAGGTCAGGAGATGTGGCCTCCTTGCCCTTTTTGAACTTACCTTTGAGGCAAGTTCTCCTGGCTCTTTCTTTTCTAAAAATCCTGGAACTTTTTTAATTTCAGGAAGTTCAAAACTCCATATATACTGCAATACCAGCAATAGATTCCCATAAACAACCATGAATGGAGAACTGATCATTGCATATTTTCTTCTGTTGCGAATCATCCAAAGAGTGCAGGACCAAATCAACAACACAAACGTCAACCAGCTGTGGTAGGTAATACTCCAAGCCTCAAAAGAGAAAAGAAAAAGAGGTAATGGTCAATATAAAATATTCTGCCCACTTTAAATCAAGTTAAAGGTCATCTAAAAAGAAAAGGTCAATAATATTCAAACTGGGGAGAGAAAAGAGTTGTGGTGGAATTGTGTAGAGATCACCACCCGTGGCACAAGGGAGGAAGAAAAGAGAACTACTGACTGTGCTAAGAAAATTGCTTTTGAACTTTGATGGCAAAGCGGTCCTCATTGTAAGTCCTTTTCCTTTACCTCAAATATCTTCACCCTACTTTACAGTATTAAAAGCATCTGTTGTTGATAAATAACAGACTTATTTCCCAAATAGTGCTTTTCCCCAAAATCATTACTTTCTATTTCCTTTCATAGAAAAGAGAAAGCTGTTGAGTGATGAGTGAGCGTGACCTATCCTAGGGTTGAAAAATGGAAATGTTGAGAATATATTCTCTTCAGAAGTCACATTTAGCAGATTATTCAAGAAAATGTACATGAAGGAAGTTAGAAAACTTACAAAGAAGTTGTGTGTTAGGGTACACATACTCAAAATAATACATCCAAGCTCATTTAAAGGCTAACCTATTTCTGTTCCATAGTGGCTATGGCTACAAAGCCATCAGACCCTTAGACAGATGATACCTCTTCCTCTATTCACACTAAACTTCCAAAGAATCAGAAATGTATCTCAAAAAGAAGCTATTAGAACAAATAGTAAATCAAGCTCATGAATACTTCAAGCTATACACCATGTTACTATAATCTATAGTAACATATTTTTAAATAGTAAAACATTTATAAATACTTTCTAATGTTTCTAGTGTGTTGCTTCTGAAAAGTAGACAGATAACAAGATAAATAAATCAACTTGGAACAAATATTTGCTTTCAGGAATTTTCAAATTTGTACTAAAGCACAACTTGCTTTTAAAGTGATGAGTTATACAAAACTTGGTTAAAACTTATGATAATCATAAATTGAATCATAAATTGAAAATTCAAATGATTTTTTATTAAAAATGAGTAACTGACTATCAAAAGTATGAATTATTTTCATGAAATATATTTTGCTTTAGAAATCATGTTTAACAAATATTAGATACCATATACTGCTTTTGCATTAAACAATGCAATGAATGCATTGAAAGTATTTGCATTAAATACTACATTTAATACATTTACCTAGAATGAAATACAGATAGAACTTTGCTATTTTCTTTTGTAATCCAGTAAAATAATCTTCCTAGGTATTATAATCCCAAAATATTTTTCCCACACACACTTCTTGTTTCAGAGGATAAGGTAGGAGATGGGGAAAAGAAAGAAGATATGAGCATTATTTCTTTTATTTTAAGAAAAAAAAATTCAGTAAAAAAACTTAAAAGCTTTTAATGCTAATCAGGTTTGTCTAGGTAAAAGGGAATACACCATTACTATACATAAATTTGGCAGACAATAATTTTACATACTTATTTGGATGTTGTGGTATAGTAAATTACTTTCTGTGGCTTTTCTACCCATAAGTCTTTGTAAACTCCAAGGTGGAATTTGCTATGAGCAACTGAGGAGCTCCTGATTGCTGAAGGTGTCCACCTGGAGTATTTCTGTTGGGAGTGGCACAAAACAATGTTCTGGGAGGTGCCCACTCTCTCTCAGGTGC